ATCTCCTCTCCTGGAGATGGAAATCAGATATATTTTAGCCTTCAGCTTGGTAGAGTGAAAAGAACATTGGATTCTGCAGATTCTGTTCCAAAGTTCTGTCGTCCGCGTGACTGTGTGACCTCCAGCTAACCTCTAAACTTACCTCGACTCGACTCAGTCCCTCGCACACGAGGAGAGGCCAGATTCCCTGCTTCCTGTCTTCCAGCGTCGACATTCTGTGGCCCCTTTGTGTCCCTAAGCCCTGGTCCGGGACACCTCCCCCATCTTTGCTAGCTTAGTGAGCATTTTATCAGATGCTCGTTCTCAGCCATAGCACCATGAGAAGGTGCAGTTAAAACCAGCCCTGCCTAGTGACAGCTGATGCATTGGTGTCAGCACAAGCTGAGAGAAGATTCTTCTGGAACAGAAAACTCCCTTGAAGTAGTGGAAGTGTGTCTTAGAATGTCCACTAAACACACCATGCAACAAAATAACCACTAAGTGAATTAAAGTCTTATAAAACATGGGTGTGCACAGGCACATTCATACACATCTCTTGGCTGAGAGATGAAATGTGGGTAGAGGAGGGAGACTTGCGGAGGAAGGGCCTCTGGGAGCACGCTCAGGTCCCAGCACCATGCCCTGCACCCCTGGACCAAGCCCAGTACTCCCGCTTCAGTGATGGCACAGGAGCCCTGATAGAAAAACACCAGGATCGATGCCCTCCCAAGCCCACCTGCCCCAGGCCACCCTCAAAGGAGCAGCCCACCATGTCCATGTAGGGAAAGTGAGCATGCTCCCAGCCTCACCCACCTGCTTGCAGAGGCCTTAGTCCTTTTGTGTAGAGTGAAAGGTTTCTTTCCACAGATGCCAGAATGCAAATGCATGACTCACTGTGTGCCTGATGGTACAAATGAGTTTAAGGTCAGGAGTAATCAGTTAGCCAGAGGTGGGAAGGGATGGCCCAGTCCCTGAGGGAAGAAACCAGGTGCTTAAAAGGAAGCTTGGAGGCCAAGTTCAACAAGAGTGAAACTCCCTTCCCTCCCACTGGGCGTGGTGGACAGAAACTACCCTGAGATATGTTACTCAGAACAAAAAAAAAATACTTCCTCCTTACTTGTGTTTGTGTAAGGCATAAGCTGTAATGTTTTAGCTTGTATCTTCAATTTTTTTTTTCTCCCTTTAGTCCTGTGATTAGCAGGCTGTTTCTCCAGGTGACTTTTAAAGATTTATTCTTTGGTTTCGGTAGGTACACAAGCCATGCTGTGGAAATTCTTAAAATGTCTAGGTTTTTACGTACTCGGTACTTTTCTTGCAGGAACAGTCCTGTTTAGAAGTGCACTCGATCATTAGAGTCAACACACACAGTCTGATAAAGACATGAAAACCTGTTGGTACATTTTTAATAGGTGCTTCAAAACATAATAGTTGGTCTGCTTTATAATTCTACTGCTTCTGAGATGAAACAACTGAAATTGGAGATACCGTGGGATACCTCAGCGTCCTTCGGTTCTGTGCAAGTGTGAGGTGTGGTCGGCCATGTGGGCCCTGCTGGGGTGGCTCTCGGCAGGGTTTGTGCTTGGTGTCTGTCCTGTCCTGTGCTGTCTGCTTTGTTTGAAATTGCGTGGAAATGGTGCCTGGTCTCAGTGGTCCAGCATGTCCATTTTCCTGAGAAGGGCTGGCTCCGGTTTGGCAGAACATTGCTGCCATGGACTGTCCTGCCTGCCTTTGAAGCCGCGCATCCTGTTTCCATGTTCCACGCTTCTCGGCTGGAATTGTTGTGAGCCGACGTGAGGTGCAGGAGTTCAGCTAGCGTGACTGAAGAGCATTTCTTGACAGCTATTAAGTGAAATGGCCCCATGAAAGGAGGAAAAAGACAGGAAATTCAGGCACCATTCACACAATGTCTACAGAGTTTCTGTTTTCCTGCGACTGAAGTAACCCAAGACTATATTCACATCATAAACCACAGTTCAGCATTGCATGTGGCTTGAGCTGGGCAACCCAAACCAACTGGCCCGTCTTCCTGGCTTTCCCTAAATCGCTTGAGTGCTTGGGATCTTACTCACATACGCACATTGACAGATTTCAAATGGCCCTTTTGCTGAGTGAGCTTATTATTACGTGGCCCTCTCACTGTGCTGAGGACCTCTCACCACTCTATGCTTTCTCAGGGCTCCCTGCCTTTATCTACTGCACCTGTCTCATCCATTGTACATAATGTTTCAGGTGTCGGTGCCAAATCTGCATTATTAATTCTAAAATTAAGTGGGGATACATTAGGAATTGAAAACAGAAAAACAGTGAAAATTTCTGAGAGAGCATGTGTCAGTTCCTCTCCCTGTGCTCTGTAGATGCTTGTAGTACCTATTTTCCCTCACCTCCCTTGCATTCCTCGTTTGTAGTGTTTTCCTTCGCCATTCTTGTGTTCCTCATTTTGTTTCCTGTACCTTCCACCTGGGCATTTAGAAAGAGCTAGCTGGTGTGAATGGACGCCGCAGTGTTCTCGTCCCCTTGAACTGCAGACTCCTTGTAGGGGAGTGCAGATGTGTTGGTGTGTCTGCTTCCAGTTGTCCCTTTGTCTGGGAAGTGTCGTCGCTGTTGTGAGCCACCAGTCTTCCATCACACCTGCCCACGTGCTCCTCGGAAGCAGCTTCACACAGATACTAAATAAAAGCTGCTTCCATGATTTCAACCAAGCCATCACCCTAAGGGATAAAACAATCCCTTCCTCTGCCCCAGCCTAAATTTCATAGGCAGATTCCACAAAACTTCAGAATCCCCAGAGGAGATGGCAGATATTTAAAAATGTCATTTGATGTTTAAGTGCCTGTCTGTGGTCCCAGAGAAAACCAGTTGAGGGCATTTCGAGTACGATCAAGTCATAACTTTGAAAAGTCTGGAACAGCAAACCAGGAACAGGTAGCCTGTGAGTCAGGTAACTGAGATAACAAACCTGGCTGGGGTAACGGGCGTCCTTTCCTCCCTGCTCAGAAGGAAAGTGGTGTGTCAAGGGAGGAAAAGAAGGGCCTTCTGAAGTTCTCAGAAGGAAGGCGATGGGTGGGACTCACTGTGCAGCTTGCCCAGGGTGCTGCAGGTCCTGGCTCATGCTAACCCTTCGGTCCTGAACAACGCAGAGCAGGTGGACAAGCCAGGCCCCTCTGTGAAGGTAGGCCTTCTGAAGTTCTCAGAAGGAAGGCGATGGGTGGGACTCACTGTGCAGCTTGCCCAGGGCGCTGCAGGTCCTGGCTCATGCTAACCCTTCGGTCCTGAACAACGCAGAGCAGGTGGACAAGCCAGGCCCCTCTGTGAAGGCAGCACAGCACTCAGTGTCATTATGGTCAGGAAATAACTCCTTGTCCCCATGGGGAAGTTGGCTAATGAGATGTCTTAGCCCCAGAGGGCAGGAAAGAACAAGAACAGGACGCTAGAAGGGAAAGAGGGAAGGAAGGAGGGTAAAGAAAAAGCTGTCCTTTCCGCAGAGTGGCCCACTAGTAGTTAGGATAGTGTCTGTGCGGGGAGAGAGAAAGAGAGAGAAAACGCTTTCCACAGCCTGGGGCATCTGAGGAAGTAGGACTTTGCACCACTTTGGGCATCTGAGGGCAGAGCTTTTTGCTCCTCGGGTATCCCAGGGCACGGGGCTTCAGTATGTGACCTGGTATCTGGCTTCCGCGAGTCCTTCGTGGGGCATCAGCACATTGGGTCGCTACTATGCCTCGTGAAGAGGGGAGAAAGGATTTGAACAAATGGCAAAGGGACAAAGGGCTTAAAGAACAGATAACTGGAGGGCTGCAAGCTCCGCCATGGACAGCTGGAGCCCTGGCCACTGGTGGAGAATGGGACCAAGCAGAGCGCTTCACAGCAGAGGGGACAGGGGTGGAGGTCCCCTCGGGCCTTACAGCTGCCTGGGCCCCTGCAGGACCTTGATTAAAAAGCATCCATAAGCCTGTTTTCACATTCAGCGTGTCAAGTCACAGGAACGCAGGCAAGACACTTTCCAGGTGCGTGCTTTCCTGAGACGGAGGGTGACGCAGAGACAGCACACACAGGCTGTGCTTGTTACCGTTGAATACACACCATGGTGACTTGTCTGGAGGGAGTCCTCCTCACCGGGCACTTGCTGTAATGTTGCCGTGGTGGCCTCTGTAGGAGCTCACTGATAAGTGCAGCGTACAAACTCCCCGTTCTCAATGTGGGCGTGTGAATGAAGGGAGCACAGAGGTTCCAAATGCTGTTGTGTCATTAATCCTGATGATAAAGTGGATTTTCGTGGCCCTCCCTAAGAGAGAGCACACGCACTAAACCTTTGTGCTCGGGACTTTTTTCTCGAATAACGCCAGCTCACACAGGGACTGAATTTTTAACTAAAACACCCTAACCATTTAATTTTCAAACTATACTACATAAAACATGAGCAGCTCTGAAGTGGTTTTACATTTTAAAATCATGATTTTTTTTTTTTACAGTTTCCCCTCCTGCTCTGAATGTTCAGTTATTGATTGAACAGATTTTTATGATCGAAATAAAGCTTTTTGTTTTTTTTTTTTTTCCTTTTTGTCTTTTTTACTGACCGGTAACGGGATCGCAACCCTCGGTGTCGCGCCCGTACCGGGGACCGGCAACGGGATCACAACCCTCGGTGTTGTGCCTGCACCACGCTCAGCCAGTGAGCGGGAACTGGTCTCCACATGGGATCCGAACCCTTGGCGGGAACGCCACCACGCTCCCAAGTGGCGCACTCGCCACCAGGCTGGCCCGAAATAAAGTTTTAAACCAAGAATTCCACTCTGTACACAGCTGCGCTCATTCCGATCATGCTTTGGCAGCGACGGAAGCCTGTCCCCTCCAGAGCAACCTTGGTGGGCAGCCTGTGGGCACCATGTGTGTGCTGGGAAGCCGACGCTGTATTTCTGTCTCGTTTTGCACCATCGCAAAGCCAATGGCACCAACTCTAACAACCGCTTAATCTGGGTGTCTGGTTAAGTAAAAGGCCATCTCGACTTTTCTTTTTCTTCCTGCAGTGCCTGGTGTTTGAGGATGCTCCCAACGGAGTGGAGGCGGCCCTGGCAGCTGGTATGCAGGTGGTCATGGTGCCCGATGCAAACCTGAGCCCCGACTTGACGAGCAAGGCCACCCTGGTGCTGGGCTCCCTGCTCGACTTCCAGCCCGAGCTCTTTGGCCTGCCGCCCTATGAGTGAGAGTGCCCGAGGGCCCGCTGTCGTGATCTGTGCCACCCAGGGAAAGGGAAGGAAATCGGCAACCCCTGAGCTGCAGGCTGCGTTGTGCAATTAGCCTTTTCCTCCCGTGTTGGCTCGGCCCACTCTCACTAACGTGCTGATAATTCAGAACTTGACCGTTGAGCAAAAGCAAAGTTGACGCAACCCAGAACCACGTTCAAACCTTAATTACTGCGTGAAAAATCAAACTGATGTAATTAGTATATGATAAAATGAATACACATAACACATATACACGCTAGTCTGTGAATACTCGTGTGCACATTATATATATATCTGTACTCATGTGTATGTGTGTGTGTGTACATATATACAGGTCAAATACATTTCCACAACAGAGTGAAATTATACTTCTGGTCATTTCTTTTTCATTTTAGTTTTTCTGAACACAGGCTGGAAAATATAATCTATATATGCAGATATGTTACCTGTATGTACATCTATATTATACTTATGTATGTAACATGCTCCATCCTTCCGTCTCCTCAGTGTTGATGTTAACACGCCACAGCAGCTGATAAAGTGGAGGTGGTAGCTCTTTCTGGTTTCTGATCTGAGTGGGAAGCTGTGTTTTTGATGAGCCCTAAGAAATGATTCTCCTTTTTATCTAACATTAAAATTCCTCTTGTGACCTCAAAATATGTCTTTGGACCTTCACTGAATGACTACCTCTGAGCCGTGTCATTAATAGATTATTTTTAGTGTGAGCACAGCTGTAGCATACATCGAGTACCTACATCCTCATCCACATTGGAGAATGTGTTCTCCCCAAGAAAAATCATTTCCCTCCTTTAAGAACATTGATTTTCTACATTTCTTTGATAGAAATAGAATTTGGTTTCAGAATATCTGCTTGGTAAGACTGACAGCCACGGCATGCTTTTGGAATAATTTATAGGACATTACACTTTTATGATTAACCCTTTTTGTAGATTTACTCAGCCTTTGGAATTTGTCTACAATTTGTTAGGGAAAAATTGTGAAAGCCGTGGAGTTGGGGAATAAAGGAGCACTACTAGGTCCTGGCTTAGCACCCCCTGGTCTCTGCCCTTTATTGTCGTTGAGCTATTTTTCAACTCTGTAAGTTATGGAAAAACCATAATAGTGCCTGTGTTTGTCTGTTGATGGTGGCCCCTGGTTGTTGACCAACTTTGCATCCATTTAGCAAATTTATTTCAGCATTCCTGATTGCCTGCATATGCTTCTGCTCTTTGAATTCTGCTTTAAACCAGTTATAACATTTTACTGTTTCCCTCACAAATTAATTTAAATAAAATCTTTTCAAACACGTTCATGTAGTATTTATCTGAGAGTCATGATTTTACCTTTAAAAAAATGCTGTAACAAATGTAAAATATGAACGTGGCTAGTTGGCTTTTTTTTTATTAACCTGTAAAATGACAAATATTTTAGGTGAACACTCAACACTAGTGCCCTTGCATACAGCAAATACAGGTTCTGGATGAAATAGTTGCTTGTTTGATTTGGTATCTTGTCCTTCCAACCTACTTATGTTGATGTCTTCTAATCATGAATTAGACAAAGATAATGCATATGTAAATGATGCAGGGTAGGTTTTCCCACAGGGTAGATTTGATCTCAAGTGTGGTGTTGTTTGAACCGAGGTTTCACATTCTTAAGAATTGCAGGTCTCAAGTTCTTAAGATTTGCAAGGTTTCAAATTTTTAAGATTTGCAGCCCAGTTTTCCTGTTTTTGGACAGATGAAAAATACTGATCCTTGGCCAAAGCACATACATTGTTTTTTATTCTTTCACACCAGCCTGCCTGCTTCAATACATTGTAGTGATGATATTCTACTGAATAACTCACTGATCTCATGGAGGTATGATTATGAAAATTTATACCAGAATGACACATGCCAAGAAAGTTTAAAGAGTAATCATCATACCTTCCTAGCTCATTTGAAGTGTGTTCAGTTAGGGACATGCAGTGATTAGTGGAATTCATACAGCTGTGCCCCAACTAGCACCTAGTGTTCGCTTGTGAACGCCCATGAGAAAGGTCTGAGATACTAGTGACAGTGCTTGAGAGGTGGCACTATCAATCTTCTCTTAGTAACACTTAAAGGAAACACACAGGACACTTTTAAGAACTTGCTAATTGCTTCTTATTAAAGTTTTTTCCACCTAATAAATCCTCAGTTGGAGTTCAGTGATTTATATGAAAGAAAAAAGATCTGGAAGGCACCTGTTTTACGCTTGCAAGAATCGACTTATTAAGGAACAGGAACGATTTCTGCTATGCAGCCATAGTCAACACCTACCTACTGCAGTCCATATTTCTTTGAATACACTTGACACCTTGGTGCTAAATTTGGCATGCTTTGAATAGCGTTTCCATATTTTCAAAAACAAGTTTGCACATTATAATAAGTTTTATAATAAAAAATAATGAATTTTAGCCTATCTCTAGTAACTCCTCTGCTGAACCTTGTTCTACAATCTACACTGTATCCCAGCACTCCCCAAGGAGTGGTGTAAAACTCCTTGGTCTTCCAAGAAGCCTCTCAAACCTGTGCCCATCTTGAGTAATCTCTACAATCATCATTTTCTCTCAAGAGAAAAAGAAGTATTAAGGAGCAATGGATGTTATTGCTATTTCAAAGTCTACCTAGTATTCTGCAGTAGTTTTTACTGATTGAAGATATTTGGTTTTACAAAGGATATTTGGGAGGATATTTGTTGATTGAAGAGCTCACATTATCACTGAAAGCAGATCTTCAGGACGCCTCAAAATGCTCTGGTTCCTTGTGAGTCTCTTGAATGGACAATATCTTGTGCACATAGCACGGGATTTTTATCTCGGTCATTAGCCACATGATGTTTCCATGGGTTTTGACTGTTCTCATCAGAAAAACCATTATCCAGGTTGAATTCAGGAACCATTGTTTACCTATGATGCGCCAGACATCAAAACCGAATAAGAACATGTCTTAGGACATTTATCTTTTTAAACTTTAGTCACAAAATTCTTCAGTTGGTGTCCACATCTTTTTTCAGCACCATGGTTAGCATCATGTCTGCAGGACAAGGGACAGATAGAAATGAAGTTTGCAATGAGACCATGGTGTTGCCTGGTCTGATCTGATTGTTCCTCAAATTAATTCAACTTTTGTGTGCGTCCTTTGACCCAAGTTGTTTTTGAAGGATTAAGTAATTGCCAATTGTTTCTTTGTTCCCAATAGCAGGTACCTGTCACAAAGTCTTTCTGAAATAGTAAAACTATCACCTTGGTATTATAGCATTGCTTTTTCTTTATGGCAAATGCCCATGATTTACAAGTTCTACATGGATTTCAGCAACATTGTGAGTGAAATGAATATTTTTTCATTAAAATGTTTCCAAATACTTATCACAATGTTAATAATATATTTCTCTAGGGGACAAAATTTATTTTAAAAATTATTTAAGAATACTAATATTCTCTAATCTCTTTTAGCAAGCATGAAGCCTTGGAAAACATGCAGTCATGTATTTAACAACCTTGTCAGAGGAATGGTGAATTCATATATGTATTATGCAAAGTCACTGAAAATGTTCTATTTTTAAAATCCACTTTAGAAAAGAATTGTCATGAATTTCATATTCAAAGTCCTAATAAATTAAGAATAGACAGATATTTAACTAATATGATAAAGAATACCTATTTCTTTGTGAGCCAATAGTTAATATTGTACCTAGTGGTAAAATAGGCAATTTATTTAAGTCAGAAACAGAGTGTCTTAGGCTGCCCAAGCTACCATAACAAAGGACCATGGACTGAGCAGCTTAAACGACAGAAATTTGTTCTCTTTCAATTTTGGAGGTTAGAAGTCCAAAATCAAGGTGTCTTCAGGGTTGGTTTCTCCTGAAACCTCTCTCCTTGGGTTGTAGATGACCAGGTTCTCCCTGTGTCCTCATATGGTCATCCCTGTATGTGTGTTCATGTCCTAATCTCCTCTTATTATAGGGATACCAATCCTATTGGACTAGGACCCACCCTTAGAACCTCACTTGACCTTAAGTACCTCCTAATAAGGCCGCGTCTCCAAATACAGTCACATTAGGAGTTAGGCCTTCAACATTTGAATTTGGAGTGGACACGACTGAGTGCATAATACAAGTGAACAAAAAAGGATTCCCACTAACAATTCACTTTCATCATTCTTAAAGAAACTCCAGTCAGTGAATAGCACCATTTAATATTTACGTATATACATATATATCGGTCTGATAGTGACAAATTATCTTACTTGTTTTTCTGACACTGCCTTTACTTGACACTCTTCTTAAGGATGTTTTCACTGGATATTGAATTCCAGTTTGAGAGCAATTTTTTTCATCATTTAAAAATAACCAGTGCTGGTGAGGATGCGGAGAAAAGGGAACCCCTACATTTTTGGTGGGAGTGTAAATTGGTGTAGCTACTGAGGAAAACAGTATGGAGGTTAAAAAGTCTAATGTAAAGTTAGATCTACATTAAAACCCAGCTTTCCCACTATTGGGTATATGCCCAAAAGAGATGAAATCAATATGTCAAAGGGACACCTGCATTCCCATGTTCGTCACAACAGTATCCACAATAGCCAAGAGATGGAATCAACCTAAATACCCACCAACAGATGAATGGATTAAACAACTGAGGTGTATACACACAATGGAATATGGTTCAGCTATTAAAAAAAAAAAAAAAAAAATGATGTCCTATCATCTGCAACATGGATGGAACTGGAAACCGTCATGTTAAGTGAAGTAAGTCAGGCACAGAAAGACAAATACCGCGTAATCTCACTCGTATGTGGAATCTAAAAAAAAAAATAATAAAGTGGTTGTCATAGAAGCCGAGAGTAGAATAATGGTTACCAAAGGCTGGGAGGTGAGGGGTGTGGGGGAGGGGAGGAGAAGGGGTGGACTAACAGGTACAAAAGTATGCTGTCTACCCTAAGTGAATCATTGTGAAGGATGCACATGTATGGAATCCACACTGCACCCCACAAGAAGAAATATAAATAAAAATTTTTAAAAAATACACAGTTTCCTTATTATCTGGTTTTCTCAGTCTCAGTTGAAAAACGAGTTATTAGTCCTATAGTTACCCCTTTAGAGACAATCCGCCTCAGGGGCTGGTCTGTGGCTCACTTGAGAGAGTGTGGTGCTGACAACACCAAGTCCACGGGTTCAGATCCCTATATAGGGAGGGCCGGTTGGCACACTTGGGAGAGCGTGGTGCTGACAACACCAAGTCAAGGGTTAAGATCCCCTTACCAGTCATCTTTAAAACAAACAAACAAAAAAACACTGA